AGACTTTAGCTAAAGTTTAACCGAATCGTATGAATTTGTAATAAGAAATGTAAAAAAATCACAACATTTTATTGATGCTTTATCATTAGAACATAGCTTGTAGTTGCAATAGTTCTACACATAATAAATTCCAAAAAATAAAAATTACAACAAAATGAAAAAATACCGATGTACGGTACGTGTGTTTTATGCTTGTGCAAATATTTGTGGTCAAAGTTGATCCAAGTGTATAAGAGTTTGCAAATATTACAAGGTTTATCTATCAATTACTCAGTATTATTGCTCATCATAATGCACAACAATAATAATAATCCATAACTTCAAATAGTCTTAACTGTATCTTCTAAATGAATGCAGTTTCGACTGAGGTGCAAATATTCAAGTACATATATGTCGGCATCTAATGGATGAGCAAGAAATGAGGAAGAGATTCTATGATTGATGAAGTGAGAGCATCTGATGTAACTAACAGTACTCTATCTGTGATGCTATGCAAAAAGCGTATTCATTGTCTGTTTAAATTATATGTGTAGAGCTGGAAACAAAGGATTTCAAAGAAGAACGCGGGACTACTCACTATGTGCCTGGAAAGCAATAAGCGGTGCCGTCAAAACAAGGCAGTGGTGGAGAAAGGATTTTTGTGAAATTGTGGAAAAGTCGAACTAAATATAATTAAAGCATTGTACTGCATTAAACTTATTTAGATCCATTAAAAAAATCTATAGGCTTCTAGCAAACATAGAATGCATACTCAAGCCAGCGCCTGTTCATCAAAAGTCTAAAAGAATCAACAAACATTTTTCATCACCGTCAACTAATAAACATAGATTATACAATTGGTTCTAACTTTATTACCCTTGCTCATATAGTTCAAATTAAATATCATATCAACTGTTTTAAAAAATTTAGGCTTTAAGTGTATTTTTTTCTTAAGAAAATGCGTATGATTTTTTTAACTTAAAACACTATTATGTCTCAAATTATAATGAAAATTACTGTAAAAATGCATAATGAAAAATAGTCCTTTATAAAATTTGATGTTAACAAGCCACAAGTAAAAATTGTAGAAGTATTCAGCTTTGGGTTTTGTTTGCTAGTCAAGTTTTGTATTAAGTTAATGATAACTGCATTTACAGGATAATTGATTATGATTGATTATGAAATTTTTCCTTCTCAATTAGTTTATGAATATGATCACCAACTTATAAGGTACTTGTTCCAAGAATTATATTATATTATTAATTATAATACATATAATATGTATTCATATTATCGTATCTATCATAAAGTTAATAATGAAAAAATTCGTTGCTGAATAGATAGATACATGATATAGATTTTTAAGACGAGCATTTTTTGTTAAAAATGGAATATTGAAATTCGGTAAAAACGATATTTCGGTAGAACAGATTATTAGATAATTATTTATAACAGATTTGAAAGTCATTTATATGATTTGATATTTTTAAGGTGCAAGGAATGTTGTAAAATTTTTTTAATCTATCATCTGTTTATTCAAGCTTCATTAATTATAACCAAATTAATCAAGAATCAAGAATTCGATAAATTTGATTGTTATTTATAAAAAAATTAATTGATATGCAATATTATCTTTCCCTACCATTCAAGGATTTTATCACTAATTTTTATGGTTCTTCTTTCAAAAATCAAATGATTTTAGCAACTTTATCAATATAAGTTGGACAATCCAACAACAATCAAAATTTCTTACAGAAATAGTTATGAAGATAATGGTGGTTGGATAGATAGATATACATTTAACAATTTGAAGACGAATATTTCTAAAGGTAATCGAATGTAAAAAATTGGTAGAGACGATTATTGAAAGAAACGAGATATGATAAAAAACTTTAAGTTGATTTTCCTAAAATTTTAAGTTTATTTTTAAATGAATTAAAATTAGTGCATTTCTTTTCAACAGCAAATATTATTTGGCACACAAAAATAAACTTTCATTTTGAATCGATAATTTTTATTAAAGATTTATTCTAACTGAATTTGAATTATTCGATAAATTCAATATTATTTTTTCGTTCTTTTTTCTCGATAAATAACAAAGTATCAATATAAGTATATCATGATATCAAGAAAGAACGTACCTACTTTTATTGTATCCATAAGGATATATCTTACAACTTGTCAGAAAGTTAGTTGGCGTGTAGTTTATTTATAAAACCTTTTGCTCGTAAGTCATAAGTTTATTTATGAAGTGCAGTTTGTGTACATACATGCCGCACAAAAAGATTAGAAATGCTACCCAGCTATGGGAGTTCCCTTTTGTTTGATGTACGCGTTAGCCTTTGCAGAGATTCGTTGGGCGCTTTTCAGATGATCAACTAAATCATTAGTAGTTGTTGGATAATAGATGAATCTCAATTTTGTTTTATTATTATAATATATCGTGATTCCCACTGAAACTAATTCGATAAAGCAAAAGTTATATTAATTATTGAACGTTCCAGTTGTACGTAATTTAAGTTGTTCGTACTAAAAGTAGGTACTCAGGATGATCAGGAACATTTGGTGTAATAAATTTAATTAATTTAGGACTAGCGATGGCAAAATCGTTTCGTACGTGGGCTTTCATAAAATATTCAAATTTAATAGATGGAAGAACGACGTCGATGCAAGATTATTAAAGGGATTTGGTAAAACTTTAAAATATATAAAATTAAACTTATTTAATTCACAATCAGCAAATTTAATATAGTCCCGAGTTTGCTGATCCCAGGTCACGTCTGAAATCAGGCACCTTTTATGTCAAATTTCTACTTAAGATTATAGATCTCAAATATAGCTTCAATTGCAAAAAGCCTCACGGGGGTATAGCGGCATATATAATAAAAATGTTAACAAATACTTTGAATATAGGTAATTAGTCACAATTGGATTGGACAACTAGTGGGTCGCTATCAATTCAAATAATAACGTCATATAATAACGTCAAAACATTACTGAATCCTATTCTGTTTTAGTATGATAGATTGTAATTAGATGTCCATGCAAAAATAATATGAATGAAATAAATGTTTGAGTAAGGGTTCCAAGGTCCAATTTGACTTTGGCAATTATACTATTAAAACCAAATCAACTACATCACAACACATTACACATATCAAACAATGAGCTATCGAACAATGTTCAGTATAATTCTCAGTTCAATCATTATAGATTTTTTTGGATATTTGTCTAAATTGTGCCATCTGCCGATTTCACCAACATAGCCCGGCAAAAACGGACTGCCAGGGGAAAAAGATCCAATACCATATTTTTTAATTTTAAAGTGGTTTTATGGAATATAAGCTACATTACTGTATAGATGCAATGCGGTTTTAATCACTAGGTGAACAACATAAAACTATAATCTAAATATATATGGTTAAACATAATAAACAAAATTCTATCAATTCTTACCGCTATGATAAATATTGCTTTGGACAGTATTCCTGTTTAAATTGTCATAATCTGAATCATTATTTCTTGAAACACAATTATGTATATATTACAAACAAAGTAAAGAAAACTTCTATTTGAAATAAATATTTTATAGACACGGTTTTACAAAGATACTCTGTGTATTGCATACTATATACAAATTTTGTCTGATTCTTCATGGTTTTGTCTGGTACTTCATGGATCATGGTTGGTCACAAATATTGAATATCATCAGTAACTATTAATTTAATTTATCTTTTATAAAATTGCTTTTTTAACTTGCCCATTTTTTTTTATTTTGAACACTTTACATATTTTAATTGTTTGCACGTTTCCAATTTCAAAGGTTTAGATTTTTTTACCCCAACCTATAATAAACAATTGGAACAAACTTAAAAATAATAACAATTATATAACGTATACCTAGAATATAAATAATGAAGTCGACTGTGATTTCACACAATACAATGCTTTTACTACTAACTAGGATTTGTCTTCTGTAATTTATTGATAATTTTCTTTTAACTTCTCGTAGGGATCATTAGACATATTCACATCAAATTATCCGATATTTTATAGATATTTTAATAATAAGAACAAATTTGTTACATTTTTTTGAGTTCCCTACCAAGATTTTTAATTTTTGAAGTTCACTTATTCGGTTCAAACAAATTTCAAAATCTTCAGGAAAAAATCTTTACTGTTTACTTCAAATATAAATTTGGAATTTACAATTCCTTTCAAAACTATATATATATCTCATGTGCGTTATTCTACTCGTAAGAAATATATCCTCAGATGAATTCATTCAGCACGGGTGATAAGCATCATCACTGTATATTATATGAACGATTAAAAATATAGTAATTATTTCTTTGTATATTCGAATTCGAGTAATTTGCCTTAAGGCACGATGCTATGCACCACTAGTTTTTTTAATATCTTTAAAACAATCTGACAGACGTAGGACATTCAGTAATTATTTTGACTTTATTATACGGATTTTTGAATGGATGGCAACCCACAGTAGTCCATATTGATAAAATATGATCTAAGATTACAAAATTTTACAACTTATGATCTAAGCATTACCAGAATAAATTTTCCGCCCGTGTGAAAAGTGCATTAACATTGAGGAAGCGGTGTAACTCGTCTGCTACTATAATTAGCTTTTGTTAATTACCAAGCAAAACGCAACACTGGAACGAATATTATTTCTACTAAACTGTAGGCATATCTGTTATGTTGTCAGATCCTATGAAAACAACAGACGCCGAGTTACGTTAAAATCAGGTTTGATTTGCTTTCGATCGTTAACCACTATAATGGGTTTTGTATTATAAAGTATAATCTTCGAATTAGCAGTAAATCAATGAGCAATATAAATGATAAGAGGCGCCAGACCGGATATTTTATTTACTGACATGATATTTAAGTAATTCAATGGTTAATGTGTTTTATACAATAAAAATATTATTTTCTGCATAAATTAATGATAAATTGCTTTGAAAATGTCTTTTTGACCTCTTGATAAAGTTTAAAAGTTTTTTGTTAAAGTAATTTAAATATTGCGAAAAAAGTTGTGATATACTTTTCATTTAAGAACGCATTATGAAGAAATTGTTTTTAGATTTTAGAGATGGATAACTTATTCTGCCATTAACTTCCTGAACTTTAAAATATTCATAGCCTAAATTTAAATTTTTTGCGTTTGAATTAAACAATTTGGATATGAAATGTCTGATAAATGATTGCCTGATCATAAGAGGATTAATTTCATTTAGTTAAAATAATAACTTTCAGTAATAATTTAATGAATCTAGAGTTTATGATTTCAGAGATTAATTAATTTGTAGGATGGACTAAAGAATTATATAGTACGAATGTTTATGATAAACTCATCGTAATATATTTTGATAAATGTTTTACTTATCGTTAGCAAAATGAATCTAATGGGTTCGTCGTAATTGAAAATTATGAATGATTCAATCATTTGAGCTGCAAAAGGCTATATAAATTTTCTTGAATCACTAAAGTACATTATTTTTAGACGCAGACTAATATGTATGAAGTAGAAAATTAAAAGAATGATGATTCCGAACCCACTATGCTCTATACATCGGAAGCAAAAATTAATATATAGTTAATTTATTGTTTAATGTTAATAATAAAAACTGTTTGAAAGATATTAGTAGGAATGATACTGATAGTTTTAGCTGGAATATCTACCAAAGCCGTTTCTTGTAATTAACTGTTAAAAAATAAATTAAGCTGATTTTATGGAACTGTTTTTGGCGATATATATCATGGTCTTATAGAACTTACTGAAATATTACGGCCTTACGACAAGTAGTTTAATTTAAAAAAAATATCAAAGTTTGAGAAAATGAGTAGTTTTTTTTTGACGTT